TCCTTTTAATTCAATTTTGAAAAATTAATTAATTAAGGTAGTATCGACAAGCTTACCTCCAACGCTGCAGTATTCGAGGGAGAGGAGGGGAACATCAAATTGACAAAAAGTCAAGAAGAGGGGGGACAGAAGTGTTTCAAAGACAAAGGTAGAATAGGTGAGCACTGTGGAAGTAGTCGAATATGACATACAGTGGGGGTGACCGTAGTTTTAAGTCAGAAGTCAACTGCCGAATAATAGACTTTTTTGCCGTATGAGTATACGTTGCCCAGGGTGCACCACGTGGAGGTAAGTCTATCGCACACCCCCATTTAAATAATAAAACTAATTTATTTACTTTAAAACTCCATGATATGACCAAGAATGACCTCGTACTAAGGTCATCTCCTCCATATTGGACTCGCAATGCCACCCTTCGAGTTGGGCTGAATCATCCCAATTGAATTTAAACCTGACTTTTCATTTTGGTATTCTTAAGAGAGATGCAGTGTGACCTCCCGTGCATAAATGAGTTAGATAGTAGAAAATTCAGTGCTCGCCTATTTAAGAATGAAATTTTTTGATTGATGCTTTTGCTTTTATAGCGAGCAGTATGACTTCTACGAAAGCCAAAACAGCCAAATTATATATATATATATATATATATGCTTGCATTTTAGAAAAGTTTCGTTTTGAGACTGATGTACAACATGGGCAGTGGAATACAAACCTTGCAAGAACCCAATGTTGACATCTCTGATGGAATGTTCCATGTGGTTCGCGTGATTCGTAACAACGCTCATATGCAACTACAAGTGGACTCAGAGGAGGTTCGAGAATACAAGTCAGAAGGTATATAATAAGCTTATTATTAATAAGAGCAGCACTTAAAATGTGTACTTAAGATGAACTATTTCTAAGGAGCTATTTGCATACTCCATTAATTGGCTTCTGTGAGTCTTGGGCCCTCTCCAATTCTCTTAACGCATAACTTTTTCCCAATACCATTGTTAAATCAAAATACAATAGGTTGAACTAAACGTGGGAAGAATTTTAGGAACAAAATTTGAATGTCATAGGCAGTGAACTTCACCAGCAATGGTGTATGGTCAGAATAATATTTTCTTTCCGAGATCGATTAATAAGCAAAATTAAAGCTTGAATAAATTATGTCTTACTCTAAATTTAAAATTGAAATAAACAAGGACCAATACGTTTGATCTGTTTCAAATGCTTATTCTAGTAAATTTTCATCGGAAGGGATATAATTATGTATTTTTTTGATGAATAAACTTGACACTTGAATTCTTGTTACTATATAGGCACAAGTGGAAACCACTTTAATGAAGTGTATCAAGTCTACGTTGGCTGTGAACCTTCCAGAGCGATATCAGACTCATCAAACTATGCTGGACCCACTTTCGTAGGATATATCAGTGGTAAGTTTTTCAAGAAAAAATTAACTCGCCTTCATCAATACCTAGTGTTTATGTCGGTTATGGCGATTAAATTAATTTAGCTGTCTTTCTAAGCGTCGATTCTAACATTTATTTATTTATATCAAATGGCAGGCGTTTTGATAGGTATCATTAGCCCTTTAGTTGACTACGGGCTTCATAGAGAAGAGGAGGAACATCAAAGTGAAAAAAGTCGATAGGGAGGAACGGAAGAGTGGTTTAAAGATGTAAAAGAGACAGACACAAAGGTAGAGAAAAAGGAAAAATGAGTACTGTGGAAGTGGTCGAAAATGACATACAGTGGGGTCATGGTAGTTTGAAGTCAGAAGTCAATTGCCGAATATAAGACCTTTTGCCGTATGAGTATACGTTGCCCAGGGTGCACCACGTGGAGGTAAGTCTATCGCACACCCCTGATTCTAACATTAAAATAAACTGTTAAATTGTTATGCTAGCTTTAATATCAAACTCGTCAATGCTTTTTTTTACTTTTCATCTCTAGGTGTAAATATTAATGGTGTATTTCTGGCAGATCTGCTAATGGGCGAAACTATCAGCGGGATTTTTTACAAAGATGGAAAGAACTTGTTAATAGATCCAACCTTTACCCCTAAAGTACGACAGATATCCAACCTGTAAGTATTGCATCTGTCTTACATCACGATTTGCTACCAACTTGTATTCTCCGTTACCTTAAGTATTTTGCAATTGAGAAACAGAACAGCCTGTTATAGCTGTTACTGGTTGTATCTGTGAACTAAAGGAATCACATCTGAAGTTTATGCATGATATGAACAGAGTTATTTCTAATTTTTAGCCCAGCAAATGACATGAGTGCTGAACAGGTATGTTAATTGTTTTCCTTTTTTGTCCAAAGTCTGTGGCACTTTCGGTGTTCTAATGCTCAGATTTGCTAATTGCAGCCACATCAAAGCTCATCCAAGCCTCTAACACCTCTAGTAGTGGCAAAACCAAATTGTTACGATAACGAGGCAAACCTTCGAAATAAACTTGCTAGTTGCAAACCCCAAATTCCCAATGGAATCATTATACCCCAATGGAATCTCCCACCTCCCAAGGACACTTCATCATCGTTGTCGTACCAGGAAAACTCGTGGAGTTCGCATCAGTAAGATCTTTGCATTTTCAACCGTTTCAAATTTCTCTCGATGATTCTAATCGTGAGCATTAGCTTCTATGGCTATTTTAAGAAGAAACTTGTATTTTTGAATTTGATAAATGCTGTTAATCTTTTGCCGCTCTTATGAGGAACTTTCATTCCTCAGTCCAACTTTTCGTCCATAATTAGCTTCTATTGTCATTTCCTTACATCACTGGATGAAAGTTAAGGATAATATTACTGACCTTGACTGTGCCCTTTGACCACTGGGTCTGGATATTTGAAAATAGCAATGAGACAAATAGGATGGATTGGGTTTAACCAAACAAATCTGGCAATTAAAACAAGTAGTCTCCAAATTTTTGGAATTTCAGATATTAGTAATTTACTGGGTCTTTATTATGTTTACTATGAGTTAATTCTTCTTTATTCATTGCCAAATATTTTCATACCAGAAGTATTATCCATGCGGATGATTGTCGGTAGCTCCGTTAAACATTTCCGCAATGCTATTAGGCATCTTGCTACCGTTCAGTATATTGGAACGAAAATGTAGTGACTAGCTGCGTTTGGCATTTCTGAAAAAAAATTGTGCGAGATTTTATGCCTGTCCTCTCATTTTCAGAAGCATGACACAACACCACCAGGCACCGCAAACTGATGATAATGAATTCGTCGTCAATAATGGAAGGACCCACTCCACTGATTCTGGCAAGATTATTCCTCCATGGGGTGATGATCGTGCTCCACAAGATGATGAAATTAGATTCAATCCTGGTGATAGTATTCCAAATTTGGAGCAGCCTTCAGAAGTTATGGGTAACAACCCACCAGGCATCATCAACTATTTTCCCTCTCTCTACACATGGCTCCTATTGGCTGGATGTGGTGCAGCTATCCTCATAATTTTCCTTACAGTCGGCTATGCAGTCTATAAATTCCGCCGAAGAAATGAGGGCTCTTACAATGTGGAAGAGAATCGAACTTTCATCGATCAGCGATCAACTTCAACTCTTTCCCCAACACCACTGCTGGCAACTCCGGTTGAACCCTCGACTGAACTAACAACACTTCAACGATGTACACTAGTTGGAGCCGGGACCCCAAATAAAGAGTGGTATGTATAGCTTTTGTCACTAAGAATTTTTCAGATGATGAGGAACCACTCAGCAAAAATGTGAATGGCCACCCTTATTCCAACTGCAGATAATTCCAATCTTGTATATAAATATAAATATACATATACATATGTGCGCGTGTGTATTACTTCTGGTCAATATTTCTCTCCCTCCTCCAAGAAATGCTTGGGTATTCACAGTAAACCCGCATGTGATATGAATTTGGAGTACATGTGCAGGGATCGTGTATGTATGTGTGAGTGTGGAGAATGTAAATGATAAACCCCACGTCGATGTTTCTCAAAATTCTCTTTTTTTGTAAAATCCCCTTCTCTTCTTCTTCTTATTCCCTTTGTTAGATCTCCTGCTTTACTCTGGACAATTTACTTGATGAATAACTCGAAACACAGCTACCTCTTATGAGAAATATTCACCTCCCTAATTCGATCACATTGCATTTTTCCTTCAACACTTCCTACCACTTATAACAACTCATTTTTCCCAAAAGTACTACCCGCTGACTCCGACATTGAATACAGATTTTATGATTTAAAGCCTCTTTTTCCATTTGATTTACATGCTTTCATCTTATACAAAAGGCGCTTTAAGAGAAGTAGAAATTATCCTGAGTGAACACGCAGAAAGATGGGTTGAAAATAATAGCAATTGAGATTTTGGGCTATTCAGTACGCGCGCTACGGGGTGTCTACCCTATTTCTTCTTGAATTAAATAAGAATAGCTGAAGGAAATGAATAAAATTGGATTATATTGCCTTAATTTATTGTTAAACTGTCACAATCGGAAAGTTATGGCAATTAGAAATATTGACTGAAGAGAGTAGGAAATACCTATTTCTATGACCGAATGCTGTGTAGGCCTTATCTGATTTGGTTTATTTCCCAAATATTTAGAAAGTGTTTGCTTATATAAATAACTAATTTTACCTTTATACCCACCATCCTATTTTGGCAAGAAAGAAGGGTATTCCTAACAACCAGGACGAAAGAGATGTGAGTGATTTGGAAAGCATTTTCTCAGTGAGTATATATTAGGCGGAATCTTATTGAAATGGTATTGGACACTTTAGCAGGGCATGGATATCCTCCTCTACAATCGGGCTGTCTATAAACCGGGTTGTCCATTAAGCCGTTAACGAAGTTCTTGAGCATCCATCTGCAGTGTAAATATTGAACACGTTGTTAGGGTTTCGTTTACAGTTTAAAATGACGGATTAACTTAAACAAATATGCATATTAAATCGTCTTTAAGTTCTGCCTAATGTTTGAAACCTCTAGAACGTTAATCACTAAAAACGCGTGACAATAGAAAGTGTTAAATAAAATTCTTATGAAGTATTTTGAAGTTTGAAGTATTTTGATACTATAGTTGTCAATTATTTAATTTCCTTCTCAAAAGACAGGAAGTGCAAAACGAAATGTGTACTTTAAGGAAGGAGATCTGCGGTATTTCCTTTTTGCTTTTAGTGCATTTTGTGCATTTTCTTATAAAGTCTAGTTCTGGCAGGGAAATTTTTCAATTTATTCGTAGGCGCATTCTCTATCTGAAATTATTAAACGAAAGCGAACACACTCAACTGTGTCACTTTGCCACCATGTTTTAAAGAGAAAATGCTCAAGTTAACACAACGCTCGTTTAGCCGTTAGTACTAATTTGTGAAAAAAACTTTAAATAGCCATTACATCATCATGCCAAAGTCAAAATATATCATCTGGTGTGTAAAGGAAGTATTATTGCCTTTGCGAAACAGAAAGGATATTTTCTATTTCATATATTTACCCAATTTATTCCTCTCCTTTACCTTGGAAAGCAGTAACTTTCATTAAAACATTCAAGTTTTATTTGCTCATTCAACATTAAATGTTCAAACCCCTAATATAATTAAATTAAAAATTGCCGTCAGTTCATCTACGTTAACTAAATTTCTCCAAGAATAACTTCATTAAATTATTTATATGATGTAAATAAGATACAATGAAAATCGTATATTATGCATACAACAATGTAGACATTCGAAAGTTCCTTTATTTTTTGCAATTTTATTACAAATAATTTCGTGTCTCAACACAAATTTTGCAATTAATTAAAGATTTCACGGCACATAACTTTCAACTACTACTTTCAACTATTTCGATAAATATTTCTCCTCACTATTGCTTTTTTAGGCCTGTCAATTAATTTCAAAATGTATATTCCTAGAAAGATTTGGAAAATTATTCACAAATTCAGCAACCTCACCATCTGGTCAAGTATGGTAATCGGTAATAAAAGCTTTGTTTAAATAATGTAAATAAGCGTCTTAATTAATTGTTATAAGTACACCAGTCTATCTTTTTTCCCATAAAAGGTAATCTGCGAAAATAACTCAAAAACTTATCATGTCGTAAATCCTTATTTATCAACTAAAATATACTGTGCCATCTCATTGAGCAATCGTAATACAGGTATACACACCGAAATTTGAAAAGTACGCTTTGATAATGATTGATGATAGCGAATTTGCAATTAAAAGAAAGTAATTTAGGAAACTTGTTGATTATACAGAGTCTAGACCATGACCTTGGTGTTCAAGACGGAGTAATTATGCAAAATGAATTTGTAACAAGTAATAAAATTAAACATTGCTTTAATTTGGAACTTTTCCATGTAAATTTCAAAAGCTTTACAAAGCAACCTGTTCGTCTGAAATCAAAAACGCTGCATGAATTAACAATACCATCAAACTTCATATGATTATATATATATATATATATATATTTATTATGCTAAACTGTATCTACTTAAATTAAATAGATTTTTAAAAATCATATTTTTCTTTTTATTTTGACATTTGTCGGTAAAGCGAATGGATTTTTTCTTGCTCTTTAATGACGCCTCTGCACGCTTTTAACATTCACTTAATTCTGTGTCGTTTACAGGCACCATTTAAACATAGCAATATAAAGACCGTTTCAAAAAGAACATTTTTTTGATCTTAACGTTAAAAGAATAAAAAATATAGCATGTACTTAAAAGAAAAATGACTGGGAAGCCTAAGATTTTTCCTTAGCCATTAATAAATCGTTTTCGCTATTTATCTCCAAAATAGCAATGAACGGGATCAATTCAGGCTTCTTATGGTGGCTTTTAGATGACTTAATAATTCCAATTTGATTTTGATTAATAAAAAATTTTAATATGGAATAGCATACGTGCAAGGGAAATAGTTTCTCTCAGGAATGGCGCAATTGTAGTTGTAGGAACTCGGCGATCATTTTTTATTTGCACTTTTAGCTGTCTCTCCCAAACTTAACTTCGTGCATCTCTATTTTTGTTTCTTTTTGACTAATCCACTAAACACCTGTTTTTCTCTTGCTCTAATTTTCGTTAATTTCAATATATTTTGTGGTTCCTCTGTCTCCTATTAGGTTTTGGAATATTTTCAATCATTTCCTCTTATAGAAGAAATAACGAAAACTCAAACATAGAAAATTTAATAAAATTGCGTGCATAAATTAATCTATTTTAAGTAGATGTTTTCTAACTCAAGGGGAAAACATTTTTTCCTATTTTAGTAATGAATGCAATTATATGACAACCATGAAATACTGTAACTTTTAAATTACGACTCCCTTTTACTATTATAAATATAATATGCATGCCATAAATCCATATACTGTCAAAATTGTTGCAGGTTCTTTAAAATTATTAATATTTTAAAAGATTTATAGTGAAACTCATATAACATCTGGTTGGTGTTGTCATGAACTAAAGAGTATGTAAATCTGAATCTTTTAGAGCTATTAAGCAAAAATATATCTTATACCACAATAAAATATGCTAATTTAACAAAACCCTGCTTCTTAGTTCTATGAGGATTGCAACTGAGCAAAAATTTAAATTTGTTCAATTTTCATTTGACTTGCATTTGAATAATTTGAATATAAACTTTAATGAGAATTGGCAAAACCAAACTCGTGAAAATTTTATTTTCATAATTTCAGTGCTCACTCATAACGACCGCTATTAAAATTTCGAGGAACTAAGTTCGAAATTAAAAAAAAAAGAGACCCTAGACACATTTACAGCCATGTAGATTTTTAAGTTAAGAAACTAAAATTCTAAATTTCCTTTGCGTTCCATATATATATATATATATTTTAAAACCGATTTTGTGACTATATTCCTTTACCATGGGAAGTAATTTTATTTAAAGATAAAACTTTATGGTTAATTTTTTTGTAAGGTTTAAGAAGGGGAATTTATTTATTTCAAATGGCAGGCTTTATGATATTAATTATTAGCCCTTAAACTTTGACTTCAGCTTCCCCCAAGGGTGGGGGGGGGTACATTTATAGCAGTTAATTAATAGCAATTCATTAGCTGTCTTCTTGCTTCCCGGTATCTCTGGCTTTCCGTCCTTGTCTTTAGGGCTGGACACCGAATCAGGTGGGTCCTCTCCATTTCCTCCTATAGGTTACATAGAGGGCATGTGGGTTGAGTGCATACTCCCAATCTGTGAAGGTGTTTTGCCAGTCAATCGTGTCCGGAACGTAGTCTAAACTCAGCAACGGCTTCGATTCTTGGCCATTCGGGTATGTCGGAGAGTGCCACGGTCCACTGTTTCTCCTTTGTTCGAGCTTTAATTTCGTTGCACCTTGAGGTATGGGATTCTCTCCTGATTAAGGCCTTCATTGTGTGGAAAGACATCGGCCGGTCCATGCATTGCAAAATCGTTGTAT